TCCGGCTTGAGCGGCGTCGCCGTCGCTGTCGGTGTAACCGCGCGGTGCATTATGGGAAATGTCCCATAATGCACCGAGCAAGCCCTCACCCGGGGTCACGTGACCTGAGGGGTCACGTGACCCCCCCCCCCCCGAGGTCACGTGACCCCTCAGTACCGTTTCCTTCAGTACCTTCCCCTCAGGATCCTTCCCTCCTCCTCCTCAAGAGCTGCGCTCCAATTCGGCGTTACAGGGAGTTGTAAAGGGCTTTCATTTTTAGAGCGCAGCTCTTAGGCGCCCGTTTCCGGCTTGAGCGGCGTCGCCGTCGACGTAACCAAGGTCACCCCAAGGTCACGTGACCCCCCAAGGTCACCTCAAGGTCACGTGACCCCCAGGTCACCATAAGGTCACATGACCCCTCCCAAGGTCACGTGACCCCCGAGGTCACGTGACCCTTCTCCCCCCGAAGTCACGCGGCACCCCCCCCCCCCCGAGGTCACGTGACCCCCTCCCCCGAGGTCAGGTGACCCCCCCGGAGCATATTAAAGAATGAGGGGAGGAGGAGGAGGAGGGGTCTACCCTCCCTTCAGTACCCTTCCCTCCTCCTCCTCAAGAGCTGCGCTCCAATTCGGCGTTACAGTAAACGGCTTTCACTTTTTTTTATTCGTGTTTTACCGTCATTTACGATTTATTGACACTGAACTGTCAAGGCTGGCGAATAAAAGGAAATAAAAAGCGTCGTCTCACGCATGACCCGTCATCTTCAAAAAGCCCGTCCGTAAAAAAAAAATACTACAAACAATAATTTTTCCTAAGCACCCCTGCGATTCAAAAGTGGGAACGTCCCAGTCACTCTCGCATTCCGTGTTATCGCAAAATGCAGTGCCGCGTCTGGTTGTTTCCCCGCGCCGGCCACGCATCGCTTGTGTTCATCTTTTTAGGGGCGAAGCTCCTTAGGGTCTAGCCTTGTCCGTCCGGCGTCCGTGCTCACATCGATTTTGCTGGTGCTCATGCTCGTGAGCTCACGTGCTCAAGTGCTCGTGTAAAGCAAAAAATAAAAAAAAAGATGAAAAAAAAAATGTTTGTACTGTCGACAGGATTCGCACCTCTGCAGGGAGACCCCAATGGATTTCTAGTCCATCGCCTTAACCACTCGGCCGCGACTGCGGGACGAGTAGGGGGCTCTGAGATGTGGTAGTAACTCAAGAGCTGGGGATGTCATGGATGAAACGTTGCCTGTGGCCGCTCAAAGTCTATACAGGAGAGGGCGCTGTGGTCAAATCCGTATATAATCGCGTTAAACTTTGCATGCATTGGCTCAACGTTTATAGACGAGAGGGCGCTGCGGTCAAATCCTCAAATACGTATATAACCACGTTCCATACCACACATTCTCTTTCTGACATGGATGAAAACGAACGAAAGGCTCGGCATGCTGCGGCTCAGCGTCTACACAGACAGGCACCACCAGAGCTTCGCCCCAATCAACATTATTCACCACGTGGAGATGCGGTCAATTTTTTTAAGGCCGACTGTACTTTTCTTGCCTAAAAAGAGTACACTACGTTAATTAAAACGTCAAAGATGGAAGTATTTCCATCAGGATTTCTCCATTATTCTACGCAATAACACCAACAAGTTTTGGAAAACAAGTACACCCAACCACACTCCCCAGTCTATTGAGTTACTTGACGATGACAGTGTGCCTGGCGAACTTGCACCTGCAATAATGAATGACTATTTTTCCTGTTTTCACAACTGAGACATCGGATAATGTACCTTCCCTCTCTCCCCTTCTGTTTTCCTGCATGCCTCCAATCACCGTCACTGCAGCTGGCATCTCTAAGCTCATTGATAAGTTGAAAGTATCTTCCGACCCAGGCCCTGATGTCATCTGCTCAAAGATACTCAAAAACACTACAGTCATTTCCAGTTAATTTCTTCAGCTAATCTTCAGCCAGTCACTATCTAATGGTTGCTTTCCAAAAGACTGGAAAATAGGCCAGGTCATTCCTATTTACAAAAGCGGTGATTGATCCCATCCTGCTAACTATCGCCTAATATCGCTCGCATGCATTGCATTTAAACCCTTGGAACACATTGTCCTCTCTAACATTATGAATTAAGCTGCAATAACTTATTTTTCCAAAACCAGCATGGCTTTCGTCAGGGTTATTCCAGTGATACCCAACTGCTTGAAGTTTTCCACGATCTACAGACTAATCACGACTCACTCTCTCAAACATATGCCATCTTCCTAGACTTCTCTAAAGCTTTCAATCGTGTTCCTCACGTCCGCCTCCTCTTTACATATTGATCCACTAATCGCATCTTGGATTCGCAGCTTTCTCTCATCCAGTATACAGTCGTCAACTCAGAAGAACTTAACCTCGCCAATGTCTTGTCCAAAGCTCCACAAGGCAGTGTCCTAGGGTCCTTTTCTTTTCTTGATCTTTATTAACAATCTTCCAGATACTATCTCCTCTGACATACGCCTTTTCGCTGATGACCGTGTAATATATCGCCAAATAAACTCTTTTAACGAACACCTGCTTCTCCAGAATGACCTTGACAATATAACCAAATGGTGCGATCAATGGCTAATGTTACTAAAGCACTCAAAGTGTAAGTCTGTGCGTTTTTCCCGTACGCGTTCTCCGTCCATTTTCAAATATTCTCTAGGCTCAATAACAGTCAAGTGTGTCCAATCATATAAATACCTTGCACATGGTTGAAAAAACCCCGAGACTGCGGGTAAACGACACAACACTAAAAAGTCTCTAACACAGCTGAAATTTTTATTTTCCGAAATCTGGTTATATAGGCACTTCGATACAAAAGAAAAAAGGGGGAGAGGGTGAGAACCCAAAGAATGCCACTTTCCACCAATGTAACCTTTGACTAAATACAATTGTATCGAAATGTCTATATAACCAGATTTCGGAAAATAAAAATTTCAGCTGTGTTAGAGACTTTTTAGTGTTGCGTCGTTTACCCGCAGTCTCGGGGTTTTTCAACCATGTGCAATGTATACCAGCTCGTTTGCGCCCTTACTTTTTGTTCATAAATACCTTGGTGTTCATTTCCCTCCTAACCTGTCTTGGACTCTTCACTTTGACTCCATCACTGCCGAAGCCTCTAAAACACTAGGTTACATCTGATGCTGCTTGCACTCTGTGCCTCTAGCCTTGCGGCAGCTGGCCTACAAAACATTTGTCCGTCCGAAAATTGAATGCGCAGCTGCCATTTGGTTTCCCCACAAGATCTACCTCCCTAAAACCTTAGGATCCATTCAAAATCGCACTGCCCGATTGATCCTATCTAACTATGACTGTACTGCCAGTGTGTCCGTAATGAAAGCTCATCTGTGCCTCCCCACTCTCCATTCTCGCCGTAGAATATCACGCGTTTGTCTTTTCCAGAAGATTTTTTTATCACCACCCTCAACTCGGACAGTCGCTTCTGTTGGACCTCATCGTTCATCCCGACGACTTTTTAACTTCCTTAAAGGGAGTTAAATCGTATTTAAGCGTCTACCTTTTTTGCGGTTTCCACGTCTCTTGGGGTTCGGCCAAGCCAGCGGGCACGGAGAGAGTAGCTAAATATCAGTGCGTCATAATTTAACCGGACGACGCGGAAACCTCCTCCACCGACGGGGGCGACCCGCGGTACCGAAAGCGCGCGATATGTGACGTCTTTGGTCCTGGGCTTACTACTGGTCAGGGCCGCTAAAACCTTCTTTTTAGTCGAAATACAAAATGTAAAAGGCGCGAACCGTTCCAATTATTTATAAAAGTAGTTTTGGTTCAGTACTTTAGATTAGAAAAGAAACAAATGCAGTTTATAAAGTACGGAAACAAGAAATGACCCGTCGACATACCCGCCACCAGGCAGTGGAAAAGGCGGCGCTTACTAGAAAGGAGTAGTGGGATCAGGCGCCGACACGGAAAGGTCCCGGATATACGCGGCGGCGCTGCGGTCGTAGGGACTGGAGGATCCGACCGGCTCCCAGCGTTCCGAAGGCCTTCGGCAAGCAGCTTTGTCTGGCGATTTGGCCATTTCGCGGTATGGCAGCGCGAAATGGCTCCCATTCTGAACTGATCTTTATCCCGTGTTTGCTGTCGTTTGTGACCAATGAAGTGTCATGCCGAATTAGTGTTTAATCGCGCAGCAAATGCAATGAGAGCCGCTCTGGCTGCCCGCTGCATACAGCCTATGCAGAACATGCTTTAGTGGCGCCCTCTCGCGCCGTCGACACGGAGTGCGGCAGCCGTGAGCGCTCGCATAGCTCACTACCCCTCCTCTAGTTCACGGCCACTCAAGCAACCAAGGACGTCATGAAGGAGGTTATTTTTTGCTTGTTTTTGTCATTTTAGTTTGCCTATAACTTTTAAAATAAAGCGAAATTCGAGAAAATAAAAGTTTCATTAAGTTACTACGTTCAGTGCGCTCAGGTTCGGTGCAAATTAAAAATTAGTAAAAAAGTCGTTGCAGGGCCCCTTTAACGTACATCGCATTCCTAGTTCCACTGTTACTTTTAAACACTCATTTTCCCCCTTGTCATAATAGAATGGAATAATCTGCCGGACCATATAGCACCTATCAGTGACACCGAGCTTTCTAAACATGCTGTGTCATCGTTAATTATTGTATAACCAGTGCCATGTTTTTATGTGAGGCCACCGCATGGCCATCATTTACTTTTATGTTGTTTTTGTTTGCCATATGTATAAAAAGTTCCACCCGTATGTTTTCCCTGTATTGCCCCCTTGTGTAATGCCCCTAACAGGGCAGGAGCCCTTCAAGGGTTAATAAATGAAATGAAATAAAAACAGGTTTTCTTTGCATATCCATTGCATCCAGGACATAAACAACCAGCTATATCAAAACTAAGATCAACCAGTCTAAACCGAAAAAAATAATTCAGTTATCATAAATAATAAAAAAAATCCAGTAGTGCATGTCTCTACAAGACGAGGATTATAAGAGTAGTAACGGTCTTAGTTAAGGGTGAGGCTCACCTCGTGACTCATCAGGAACTCTGATGACTCCATCTTCATCCGCAGGATTAAAAGCCTGTCAATGACCTGGTTGTGGATGACTTCTCGATTTCCAAGGAACTTTCGCATGACGTCAATCACTTCTTCTCTTGTTTTGACAAGCTTCAAGTCATTCATGGGTTCCTGATCTCCTGTCTTGAAGCCTTCTATCCGAAACCCAAGTGTTGACGAGGAACTGAGATTTTCCCTGAACTGCAAACCAAAGGATGGCATTGAGACGACTAAATACACTGACTTGCCCAATGGTCACAAGACTACAAGGGGGCTCAGGAGGTGCACAACCACCCTCGACGAAGGCAATTACGAGATGCTCCAGAGCTATTCATTTTCCCCTTCCAACGCTGGCGAATTTCCAAGTCTAAAAAACCTGAAGGCCTCTCCAATCATGTTTCAAAGTTGAAATGCCCCATTATGTTCCAAGAAACATATTACGAAGTACACTGAATGCGTTACAAAGGGGGTCTACGAGATTCCCTTGAGTTGTGGCCAAGATTATATCGGACAGATGGGACATCGTTTTAATGATGGGGTGAGGGAGCACCAAGCTCGCTCTAGGTAACAATTCAGGGGGGCATCTCATAGGGCATTGTCAGCGTTGCGGTTGCAAACCGCTTTTAGATTCAATTAAGTTTGTTAAAAGAGTGAATGAAAAGACAGAGAAATCGTTGAAGCTTTCTTTATCAAGAACGCGCGTGAAAAGTATGTGATCATGCAGTCTATTTTTTTCTGCTGGATAAAAAAAAATGTCTTAATGACTTTGTATAAGACTGCCGATATGTTATCGGTTTAGGGGCTAGTTATCGGTATGGTGAACGAGTGTTCCTTGTTTCGTTCGTGTTCGAGTTCGCGCTTTTAATCTTTTAAATGATATGAACCAACTAGACCCAACCAAAGTTTTAATGTTCATTAGGTCAGTTTCGGAATATTGGGTCATAACAATGCTTCTATATACTGTTCACTCAAGAAAAAACAAAGTTTGGTGCATTGTTTATATGTTACTCGAAGTAGTAGTTCTTCCAGATTTTATGTCTATGTTTTGATAAAATCTCGTAACTTTAAAGGCACGTAAAAGTATCTCAATTTACCACATCATTGGAAATGCTCCAAGGGGAGTCAGACTCTTTTTACTACGGACTGCAAGCTCCGGCCAAGTTCAACAAATTGAACTAATGGTCACCAATCCCAAACCTAGTCCTTGTGCTTACCTGCATGTAGCGAAGCTTGGTGATTGCCTTTGCCTCCTGCTCTTCATATGTGGGTGCGTGGGAGTCTACTTTGATCATTTTCTCATACAAGTCTGTACGAGATTTTGCATTTTGGACTTCAGACTCGAGGAATGTCCTTGTTCCCATTTTTATGTCCATTATGGATGGTTTGACAAAGCTCTGTAACAAGTCTTGCATCTCTATAAAGCCTGAGGATTGACTGTTAAGGAAACAAGCAAACCAGTGTTGTAGAGTTGCCACTTCAGAGTTGAAATGATTCGGGAATCATTTGCACCTTTGCAACCCTGGATGGGAATGGAATGGCGACAGCACTAGGAGGAATGGAATGGAATTGGACGCCTTTTGCCAAAATGGAGTGGCTCTTATGCAAGCTCTTTCAACCTTCAGCTAGGGCCTACGGCCTGCTGGTGCAACACTAATGCATGGTCAAAGTGGCTCTTGAAACAGCGTCACGTCAGTCACATCTGACGACTTGACGGTTTCACCAACTCCTTCGAGGATAAATGTGGTAGAGCTTTGGACGGGGCCGGGCCAAACCGAAAGCCCGGGCCAGGTAGCATGAATTGTTGCCTGCCTCAGGCCGGGCCCGGGCCGGGTAGCACGGATTCTTTCTGTGCCCGGAAGCAGAGATAGCTTCTTCTTACACCACGCACAAACTAGACATTTTTAAGGCTGATCAAACAAACAAAACGCTAACCATATACCTGTGGAGGGTATACGATCCATTTGCGAAGAAAATGGGTGGTTTTAATTTTTGCCGTCTGTTGCAACTCACGAGCCTTTTACGCTTGATCGCGCGATCGATGTTTGCAGTGACACCAAGTGCCTCGAAGTGCTCTTTGCGACCACCCTTTGGCTTAGTAGAATGACTGCTTTGAGGAAGCTTTTGCATATTTTTGCAGTCATCTCCACATTTGATAAAGTCAGCAGCTTTATGCTGCTTTTTTCCAGTAACACAATGTGGGTGTCACCGGCCAGTTTTTCACGTTTAGGAATTGCAGGAATGGAATGGTGGAGTTCAGTAATTCCAGGAGTGGGAATGGGCCCAGCGTCTTCACTTCAATGGGTTGAAAGGAATGGAATTGTCAGGAACTCTAATTCCCCGGAAGGGAATAGGAATGGAATGGAGGTGCCCATTCCGCAACGTGCCACAGTGCATGAAGATTTTGGGCTAGCACCTCACTTTTGACAGCGTACTAACGATGCGTTGTGCAGAGATTTGAAGCAAGAGCAAAACATTTTCTTTTTTTGCACCACACATGAACTACCGTACAGTTCCGTATGGACGCCTTCCCCCGAGAGATTGCCCATCCCATTTTTCTGGCTAAATATCCATAACATAAAAATTCCGAGACATCGCCCACCCCCCCGATTTCCGTCAGACGTCACGCAATGTCCGACGGCATTCGCATCGACCGTGCAATCTATGGTACCAGTACATCTGAGAAACGAGTTCATAGTGGGTTCCCGCGTTTTTGTCCACGATCTGCGTGCGCGATATAGGCTCCCGTAACACACGAGTTCCCGCGTGTATATTGCACCGTGAAATACGAATCTGCTGCGTCCACGATCTGCGGTATCCGTTCCCGTGAGATGCGAGTTTTCGGCGGGTTTCCGTGGGTCCTTCGCACCGTGAAACGCAAATCTTCTGCCGCTGCAAACCGCTCAGGGAATCGTAGTGAAATACCACGTGTTTATCGCATCGTGAAACGCGAATCTGCCATGTCGACGATCTGCGGTATCAGTTCCCGCGTCGCGTAGTTTGCAGCAGGTGCCCCCGTGTTTATCATTCATTTTTACAGCAAAGCTGTCTATGACTCGTTGGTCAGATTTTTTTCATCTCGGCGTCCTCACGGAAAAAAAAAAAAAAAAAACCTTTAGTGATTGAAGCAAAAAATGCATGTATCATGCATACAACATACAGCACAGCATTCGCTTCAATACAGAACGAGCACAAAACAAGCCTCCGAAAACATAATTGATGATAATGCGCTGCTGATAACAATGTGAAGCATGTAGTGCTCACCGCATGCGTTTCTCGGTGAAGATTGCAGTTGCATAAGCTGCCGCGGCAACGGCAGCGTACGAAATCTTTCATATATAAACAAAGTTTTGGTGCAGTGCATTTACTTTCCTTTCGTCAATCGCTTGGTACAGACCCTTTTGCTGTTTACAAACATGAACCGCCGCTTCTGTCCCAAGCAACTTCCGGTCGCACCATCTTTGCAAGCCTGTTGAGCTTGTTTACGTCACCACTGCCAGAAAGCAGAAATGCTACACGAACAACAAAGTTGGAGATTTAACGAGGGCCTTCGGCTGTACAGTATTACATCTTGGAGGAGGCAAATTGGTTTACAAGAATACTCTAAACGTTCGAACAGATCTCACACTCCTTCGTTCTTTTGGCGTTTACCTGGAGAATTAGTATAGTTAAACCTTTCATCCACATTGGCCTTTGTACATTGCTATTATAAACCGGAAGTTTTCTGGGACGTCAAAGACTGGAGCACCATTTGGTGGCGCTTGCCATAAAAAGGGTCTATAGGATAGTGGGATCGTTGCAGGTGATACCACAGCCTAGCTGTGGTATCACCTGCAATTAACTCGGGCAATTAACGAATGGAATTCTTTGTCTAATGAAACGGCAACCCTTCCGTCACTTAATATTTCTGTTGAGGCTTCTGCCACGAGAAAGTGCTCGTAAGCATATAACAGCAAGGAAATATGTAACCACCCCTGCTATGGCTCACAGATGGGAGCCGCAGTATTCTTTAAACGAAATAAAAAAACACCTTCACGGCGTGGATTAGAGCCTTATTTTTTTAGAAGGCTTTGTTGTTGCATTACCAAAAATGAATCCCGGAGAAAAGCTCGCCCACTTTTGTGCGAGTCCGGAGAAAAGCTCGTCAAACTTATCGCACAGGTTTGTGCCCCAAATGAGCAATTTCTACCGCACTAGTAATTTTGATGGCAACCACTAAAATGCAAAAAAAAAAAAAAAAAAAAAAATTAAACCTTTGTTTACGGTTGACAGTATCATCTCGTCGCTCTGCTGTAAAACAAAAAAAAAAAGTATTTAAAAAAAATTAAATTTAAGTTAGATTTATTTGATTTACATAAGACTAAATCACTGTAGCTAGAAAATATTGATTATTTATCACTATATGCATTTTTAAACCTGGCGGGTTGTTTTATGCATTCTTTCAATCAGTGAAAACAATGCAGAAAAAATACAGAAATTTTAACAACGCAAAGAAGTTGCTTTTTGCGTTAGCGAAAGAGCTGTTTTGGCTTATTCGCAATCTGATTTTCTTGCAATGCTACATTACTTTCTCAGTTTTCGTTTTTATCCTTTGCGTTCCGATTTCATCGCAAAAAAGATATGACACAACTAACGAACGAAGTCGGAGGTAGAAATAGATCTCAACGCATCGATTTGCTTTGAAGACCACCGCTTTTTGCTCGTGTTCAGTCGATATAGATCTTTCTTGTGTGATGATTCTTTGATTTAAATACAAAATATATGGCCACAGAAAACAATTGTTTCACAGGGTTCGCACAAATTTTACTGACATTCCTAATGCAGCGCAGTTTTAACAGTTGTACTTGCATTTCGAAGCGCACTACTGAAGATTAGCAAGCACAAGTAATTATTTTTTCTTTTTTTTTTCTCCTATGTTCAGAAGCGTGACCCTAGGGCCCTTCGATTTCCCTGTACTTTCTGCACCAGTGCACAAAAGGGTAGGGCAGTGTACTTCCGGTCCTATCTCAATACACATACCGGAAGTACACTGCCCTACACTTTTCTGCGCCGGTGTAGGAGGTGCAGGCAAATTGAGTGAGCCTACTGTTTTATACGAATGTGCCTGCACATGGTTCCCCTTTTGTTAGCATGCTCGGTCGGGACTGCTTGGTTATGAATTGTTGCCTTTTTTCACGTCAAATGATCTGAATCCTTGATCGCATAACTCGTTACAATGTATATACATTAGGGAAAACCTAGAATATTTGTATTGATTATTTGCTCGTTTCACGTGATAAGACTTTGTCTACTGCTAATTTCCCTCTTGAGCAGGGTGTCGAAACCCCGGCCCGCGGACGCGCTCGATCCAGCCCGCAGATGGCCACAATCTTTCCAGTGATGTCCGGGCGGGCATCACTGGAAAGACTGCGGGACAAAAGGCCCTCTCCAGTGTTCGCTCTGCAAAATTGGAAAGAGGAGGGAGGAGCTTGCACGTTACTCTTCACCTGTTCCCAACTACGTACAACATATAACTGCAGAATTCAGGGTTTCTAATGGGCACCAAGTAACTGATCGCATGGATGCAGGCCGGTATCACTAATAGGGAACTGCACCGAATCGCTCCAAAGTTACGTGTGTGCTGCTCCAAAGCCCCCCCCCCCCCCCCCAAAAAAAAAAAAAAAACGATTTTTTTTTTATACAAACAATTTTTCCATCCATAAGATTTTTTTTTTTCTGTTCCAAAAATTGCTCCAAACTCAAAGTTGGCTGGACTACCACTGGTCAACACATGTCGCGCAAGTGTTACCATATTTAATTCTGACGTAGCCGGGATAGGGTAAATACAACCTCATATTTATTTTCCGTTCGAATAAGGTTGGAATTGAAACCACTGCTTTTTAAACAAATGGTGAAATGGGAAAATTTGGCAATGCGGTGCCGGTATGCGACATAAAAGGTAATTCATAAATGAATACCGAGACACTACTCCAGCTGCAGCCTTCTACACTGGTTTTATTTCCCTCCGCTATTTTTAATGCGGTAGCGTTAAGCTCGTGTCGCAGAAAATCAGTGCCGTGGCAGAAAAGCCGGCGTCGGTGGCGTGCCGCACAAATCCTGATTGGTCGATAGGGTCATGACGTCCCAGCCACATGACCTTGCGCCGGAATTTCAAACAACCCACAATGCTCACGTGAAACGTGACGCCACCCGTGGAATGAAAGTGATTAAAAATACATGACATGTAATGCGGATTAAAATCGCCGCATGTATCAAAGGATTTCACTTTTTAAAGTAATTAATTTGCCTTAAAGAAAAAACTTGAAAAAGTTCAGGAAGGATTCGAACCCACAGTTCTTCGGTTGCAAGCCAGACACGCTACTGAGACGTAAGGCAACGCTTGCACGGTTTGGGAACGAGCAGGAGTTTCTAGGGTTTCGTTATTGCATTCCACTCTTTTTTTAATTAGCGTTCTATTGAAATCATTTATTTTGTTTTCGTCGGGCAACGCCTGACATGCTGCCAGGATGTTTTTATATTTAAAACCAATATATTCTGCTAGTGAAGTGCAGGGTGAGCACATATTCCAGCCTACTTCAGTTGAGTGAACGTGTTTCACTTGATTGAACGCTCTATTCTTAGATTCATACGTGAGCTTTTCTAGGCCGCCCCCCAAAGATAGTCTATCCCATGTTTTTTTCAACATTTATCTCTTCATTTTGAGTGGGCGTTCTTAAGGAATTTTCTGGGAGACATTTTTAAGGCCTTGTCTAATAAACACCACGCTGGCCATGTATCTGCTAGAAGTAGAGAGTAGACAGTCCATTTGCGAGGAAAATTAGTGGTTTTACTTTTTGGCGCTTAGTGCCGGCCTTTTACGCTTCATCTCGCAATCAATATCTCTAGTGCCATGAAGCGCTTTCGACCACTGCTCAGCTTAGTAGAAGGATTGTTTTGGGAACGCATTTCGCGAATATTTGCAGTTGTCTCTGCGTTTTATACCATCAGCTTTATCCTGCTTTTTCCAGGAACACAAAAAGCTAATTTTTCACATTTAGGAATTAAAGGAATGGAATGGTAGGGTTCAGCCAAATCCAGGAGCAGGAATGGGGAATTGTCAGAAACTCTAGTTCCCCGGAATAGAGCTAGAATGGAATGGTGGTGCCCATTCCGCAACACTGGAGCAAACACTGTGTTTTCTTGACATGCAAGTCGAGAAACAGCGGTTTTGTAACATAAAACAGTGCCATCTCTTCCGAACAAATGAAGGATACGTTGGCCGTGGTAGTCGATGTCCCTATAGAACTTGGGGACCATGTCAGCTAGCTCGTCCTTCATTAGAGACTTGTAGGCTTGGAGCTCTCTGTTGTCCCCCGTGCATTTTTTCCAGATGGTGCCAGGTCCAGCCCGGGCAAAAGCACCTGAATTTAAGAACAGTTTTAGGGCACTGTCAGATATACCACAGTTAAGTGCAGGAAGCAGTGTTGGAGGTAACGCGTTACTAGTAACGACGTTACTGGTAGCGCGTTACATTTTTCGCTAACGCAGTAACGTACTCGTTAGTAATCTGAATGACTACCGCGTAAAGTATTTCCGTTACTTTTTTACGGTATCGGCTGTCAAATTTCGTTACTCGTTACTCGTTACTTTTGACCAGAACTGGTGAAATCCTGCACGAGCTTGTCTCAAAATCCTGCACCAGCTTATCGCTGCGCGGAACCAGCATCCGTCACAGTCAAGTAAAAAAAAACAAAAAACAAAAAGAAAACTCACTTCTCGAAGGCGAAAAAACCTTCGGCTACCAGCTAATTCCGTTCATCATCCTTTTTCTTTTTTTTTCATAGTGTGAACACCCACAAGGCTTGAACGAACGACTGCGTTACAGCCTCCTCCCCTCCCTCCTCTCCCCCCCCCCCTGCTTTGTGCAGCAGAAGTGGACAGCGGGGGGGGGGGGGGGGGGGGGAGGGACGGGAGCCGTGGAGAGACATCCGTTTACGACAGTGGACAACTATAGTCGGTTACAAGTCAAGAAGGTAGGAGAAGCTCCTCCCACAAGCGTGATGCGCCCGTTTCAAATCTCTCCGCAGTCGAAAGAAGAGTTCACTGGAAACGCTCCTTGTTCCGCTTCAATGGATTCCCACTTGTCTCCGATCCCACTTTTTAAGAGAGCGACCTTTGTATTCATTGGAGGGGGAACCGAGCCCCTGGAAGCAGCCTTTGTATCCATCGGGGGGGAAGCTAATCCCCGAAAGTCGTATTTGTTTCCGTCGGTGGGGGAGAACTCTAATCTCCCTCTCGTGCCTTCCACAATGCTAAGTCAAAGTCGAAAGATAAAGCAAATATGTACAGAAAGGCAAGCCCTTCCTCGCGCGTTGGCCGCGACGTCACGGAAGCGGTGGAACGCTATTGGGTGCGGAGGTGGCGGAGGGATATCTGATTCCCTTTGAGGGGTATTTGCCGCTACCTTCTTAACCTGTAACTGACTATAGTGGCGAAGCGATTTGCTAATTTCTCCAGTTTAAAAAAAAAAAAAAAAAAAAACCTTTGTGGAATATTTTTACCCTCGTTCTCCCCCTCGCTGCCTTAAAGTTCCTGACCCACTTTTGTACACAGAAGAATCTTTCGCTTGATTAGTGTTTAATTCCCTAAGGTCATGATAAAAAAATAAAAAGAAGTTTTAAACCTGGAAAGAAAACTTACAGCCACGAAACCTTTCTTTTTTTTTTTCGCAGAAAAATTAAGAGCTACTGCTGGTGTTTTTCAGCATCTACTGCTGAAAAACACCAAAACGAAACCCGAAAGAGACTGGACTCTATCAGTTCTGAAATTAATGAACTAAAACTGAAGGTATGTACTCTAGAGAAACAAATGCAGGAGATTAGCGCCATTAAGGACAGACTCGCCGTGGTTGAGCATACCATCAGTGGCGTCCAAAGAGACGTCCGTTACTCGCATGATAAAATCTGCACCCTTGACTCTAGTATCGATGATTTAAATAACAGAATGAGACGAAATAACTTATTAGTCAGGGGTATCTCAGAAGAACCAAATGAAACGTGGGAGGATACGGCTAATTGTTTGAGAGGCTTCATCAAGGATTACTTGGGTATAGAACCGGGAGAGTGAACGTGCCCACCGCGTTGGCCGGAAGCAGGGGGTGACAGCCCGACCGATTGTGGTGCGTTTTATTGACTTCAGAGTAAAACAGAACGTACTGAATAACGCAAACAAACTCAAACACTCGCCTTCACTTAAGGTCTCTATCTCAGAAGACTTTTCGCCTAGGGTTTGCCACCACCGGAGCAAACTGTGGCATTTGAGTGCGCAGTTCAGAAATCAAAACATAAAAGTGACACTTGTGTACGACAAACTTTATGTCGGTGGAAAGCAGTACGTTTATTGTCCCGAGTATGATGAAGTTATTTTAGTTCAAAAATTGCAAGCTGTAAGTCAAGCGATGACGTGACAGTCTAGAAAAATAGCTAGGCAGGATTGTGTTGATATCTGTGTACTTGTCGCGAACTTTCGCAGTCTTCTGCCTAAACAAGATATTTTTTGTCAACTGTGCATGATTCAGGTGCTCAGATTGTGCTGGGAACTGAAACGTGGTTAAAGCCGGAGATTAGCGATGGCGAGGTTCTTCTTAGTCAATCATTTCATTTGTTTCGTAACGACCGCACACGTTCCCGCGGTGGCGGCGTACTTATTGCTATCAGTAAAGCCATGAATGCATCACTTATTTCTGTAGATTGTGACCTTGAAGCTTTGTGGGTACGCTTAGATCATCCTTTCTTTCCAGTTATCGTTGGCGCCTGTTATCGCCCTCCTGGCCGTGACAATACTTTCGTTGATAAACTGTACGTTTCTATGGAGCACGTTTTTTCTTTATTTCCCGGTAGTACCATTATTTTTGGCGGGGATTTTAATTACCCAGTTGTAAATTGCAAGGGGGGCATTGGTCTTACCTTTTGTGCGGTTGGTGCAGAAGCTTTAAATTTTATTAACCTGATGCATAGCTATGGCCTCGCTCAAATTGTAAACGAACCCACACGGTTACATTCTGTTTTGGACCTTGTTTTCACCTCGAGTGCGGACGATGTGCGGTCAGTTCGTATTCTTGACAGGATCAGCGATCGTAACACTGTTTTAGTTGAAATGTCTTTGCCATTATTAACTAGAAAGATAAGTCCTAAACTCATCAATGTGTACAGCAAGGTTAACGAATGTGCCCTAAACGACGCTTTTAAGCAGTTTGCTTCAGAATACGAACACCATTTTTATGGAAGATCTGTGGAGCAAACTGGAAATTACTAAAAGACGAATTTAAGCAGTTGATGTCTCGATTTGTGCCTCAAATTGTGTTAAAAACGAATGCTGATCAACCCTGGTTTACGAATACACTCAGAAAATTAACTAATAAAAAAAGCGTCTCTTTGCCAAAGCTAAAAAAACCAACCTTGTATCTGATATGTCAAAGTACTTGGACTGTTTTAGGGAATTCAAAAATAGCATAAAAAAGGCAAAGAACAAATACTTCAAGCAAGACCTGCTAAATTTACTATTAACCAACCCTCGGAAATTTTGGAAAACAATATGTCCAAAGAAGGATGACTCTCTCCCTAAGCTGAGCAACGACCTCAACGAAGTATTAACAAACATTTAATCAGCTACCGTTTTGAACAACTATTTTTCGTCCGTGTTCACCGTAGAAGACTTTCTAGTATTCTGTGATCCGATCTGTAGACCACTTAACATTTCTTGTGAAGCTATTGTCTTTGACCGAAATGGTATCCTGAATGCAATCGAAAAACTCTCCCGCAGCTCAGCCCCTGGCGACGACAATATTTGCCCTAAACTTCTCAAAATAAGAAAGCACATATCATCTTATCTTCTTTGTAGACTGTTTCAACGATCGTTTGACTCGGCGACCCTCCCGGAGGACTGGAGATTCGGGAGAGTTCTACCTATTTTTAAATCCGGAAACAAGCAGGACTACTCCAATTATAGACCTATATCGCTGACAAGTGTGCCATGCAAAATTTTTGAACATGTCGTCTACTCCCACATCATGAACTATTTGTCGGAAAATAAATTAATATGTAACAACCAACATGGTTTCAGGTCGGGATATTCATGCGAAACCCAGCTTTTTGAGTTTGTAACAGATTTGCATAACAATTTTCACTCCTCTAAACCCACTGACGCCATCTTCATCGACTTCTCTAAAGCATTTGACACGGTCCCTCACCAGCGACTTCTATACAAACTTTCTGAACTTCACATCCATCCATCTCTTATACTCTGGATAGCTGAATTCTTAACTAACCCTAAGCAAGCTGTTCACCTTGGGCATGCCAGATCACCAAGCCTGCCTGTACTGTCGGGCGTCCCCCAGGGCAGTGTTCTCGGTCCGCTTTTATTTCTTATATATATTAACGATCTTCCTCACCAGATAACATCATCTATTAGGCTTTTCGCGGATGATTGCGTAATTTACTGTCGCATCTCTAACCCTGAAGATTCATTACTACTACAGCAGGATCTAAATGTTCTGTCTCATTGGTGTAACACGTGGCAGATGAAGGTCAATGTAACCAAGAGCAAACTTTTAACATTCACTGGTCAGCGATCTCCTATTGTACGTAACTACACCTTACTAACACTGCCTCTCGAAAAAGTACCAACTTACAAATATTTAGGCGTAACATTTTCTGATGACCTAACTTGGAATACTCATATTGGCAATGTAGTGGCTAGTGCATGCAGATCTCTAGGATACATCAAACGTAACCTATACCCCACTCCCCGTTGTGTTAAACTAACTGCCTATAAGACTTTCGTCCGATCAAAATTGGACTACGCCAACTTTATTTGGTGGTCTCATCAATCATATCTCATTACTAAACTCGAATCGGTGCAAAACAATGCCTCACGTTTTATAACACACGACTACTCGCGAACGTCAAGCGTAACTGCACTAAAATTCAACCTCGACCTATGCGCTCTATCTCAGAGAACTCAACTTGCTCGTCTTGTCCTTTTTCCCAAAACTTACTATTCCTCTTCTGATTTTCGAAACACCAACTGTCACCCATCACCTCACATCTCCTTGCGTCATGACCACAGCCTAAAAATTAAACCTCTATTCGCCAGAACTAATAAATTCCAAAATTCCCCATTTTCTCTCGCTGTTACTAACTGGAATTCCCTTCCTGAATCCATAGTACGTGAATCTAACCCTAAGACATTCCGTGAACTATGCAAGGCACACCTGAAAAGCGTTGATCCTTAACATGTTTATCTGTTAATTATTTTTATACATGTTATGTTCTGATATCTGTCCTATGAGTTTGTAGTTTTTTGTTTTCTTTTTGCGTTTTCGTATTATTTACCTTGTCGTCACTTTTTTGCCATCTGTATATGTCATTTGATCCCCCCTCATGTAATGCATTTCATTTGAAATGCCTTTGAGGTACAATAAACTGAACTGAACTGGTAAGAGGCAGCAAGTGATTATAGCCAGTGTGCTGGTAACCGGTGTCTTGTTCCAGATAATGAAGTAAATCAGTCTCTGGTAATAGTATGAACCGGACTGTTCCTAAAACCGGCGTACAGATGAGGGGTGTTGGTTGGCTGGTCGTGTGTTCCAGCAGTCCTCGTTCGCATGCTGTAGTTTATAAAAGCCGATTGACTAACATATCCGACTCATTCTGTGCTTGAGATGGGCATGATTAACGAAAGTCCGTCGCCATGGCCAGCAGATCTAAATGAAATGTATCAACTAAAGGAGACAGAGTCAGGTGATTTACAGTTTCAATGCCTAATCTTCCTGCCGAAAATTAAGCTGCTTCGCGCATCAAAACACTATGAAACCACTCTGTTAATTTTTATCTTTATCCAAGTCTGTTAAGGAGGCTTATCATACGTCTCTGCCAAACTTATGTACTCGAACAGAAAAGTAACGTAAAAGTAACGTAAGACTAACGTTCGTTATTTTTGAAAAGTAACGGTAACGGTATATCGTTACGTTTGCAAAAGAGTAACGTAGCTCGATAACGCGTTACTTTTTACCAAACTAACGAGTAACGCTATTTCGATACTTTTTTTCGGTAACGGGAACAACACTGGCAGGAAGATGCCATGTAGGAAGTCAAATAAAAAACTAACCTTCATGGCCTGAAAGCTGGACCCATGTGTTGGTCCTGTTTTTCAGCAAGATATCGCTGGCGGGTGCTGTCAAGTCCAGCGCATTCTGAAAGTATAGCGAGTGATTGCAGAGAGCGTCTGTTACTAGCAGCTGCATAAACATACCAAGGTATTCGAGAAAGGCACTTACCAATGCTAGCAGCTGAAGCAGGCTGAGATCCTGTGGCTCCACATTCTCAAGATTTAGTTCATCCAGGGAGGCTGTGTTCACATAGAGGCCATTGGGGCCAACCTCCACAGACTTTCTGGAACCAAACACACTCTTGCTGAACTGTTTCCATCGCTTTGGCACTTTCTTTGGATTTTTTGAAGTTCCCTCGCTTAGATTCTTCCTCTTCTCCTGGAGGATGCTGGTCAACTCCTTAGCCTTAATGTCTCCGGCTGAGGCAGCCTAGGGCGAGGAACAAGTTTTCACACGTGAGAATGCTTCACTGTTCAATCAGTCTTTGCTGACCAAAAGAGCATCCCAAGACACGAGTAGGTTAAATCAACTAAAATCAAACAGGGTGATAACTGCTAGGAAGGTCTTACTGGGTGCAAACAGTCGCAACCACAAACAAGCATTGTCAAAGCGGGCACCGCATCAAACGGTAAGCTCGTACTGCAGCCCATCCAAGATGGACTACGAATGCGTCTTTGGCAGGCGTAGGGCACAACTGTACCAAGTAAGGGCAGGTGGTCTTGGCTCGACTACGAAGAGTACACGTGATCCACGGCCGTGCGCAGATACGCCTCTGTTCGTCGCTATCTTTCCTCTATCTAAAGGGGGTCTTTTGCCGATGGTGCTAAATGCAATCGGCTGACAATCGACGGCATTGTCTCGCGGACGAACAATAGAAACATGGAAAACGTTCAAGTGATATTACATTAGTTTGCGGAGGCCCCAACAGTTTCGTCAGCACAGTGAAAGAAATGCCAGGTTATTTCAAAACCGCACGTTGACCGAGGAAAAGATGGCCGTGCAACCTTTTGCCGACACAACGATGCAAGACCAAAGGGAAACGAGTGACATGAGCATCGAGGCACCGCATAGATGCAAGGTTACTCGGTGAGATGACCAAATCGGGGGAACCAACCCAAAGCGTGCGAGCATAAGACTCCACTAAGGCTCGCATACATGGAATTAAGAATGAAGCCTATGGATGCCGCGAACCTCCTGAAGTTCGACTTGGAAAGGCTTGAAAATTTCTAACCTTGCTAAGGTTCGAATTTAAAAAGTTTGCAACTTTTGAACCCCGCTGAGGTATGAATCGGAATAATTAAAAAATGTCAAGGTTTCTGAAAGTTTGAGTTCTAAGATTTTAAATTTTTTTACAGATTGTTCGAACTATTTGAACATTTCGAATTCATTGAACATTCATGTTTAAAAAATTCAAACACCTCAAATTTTTTCGAGGTACAAGTTCGAAGGTTTCGATTTTAAGTTTAAAGTCTGTGAATTTCATGAATGGAGATTAAATTACGCAGTTTCAAACTAAGTTTTCATGAATTCATCTAAAAGCATTGTGAAATGTGGTACAAATTTTACTAAAAACGTTGCCCATTTTTCTTATACCAAGAATATACTCCTTAGTGTTGTGGCACTGACGGTACTGCCTGTATTACTCGTTATTTGTCGTAACTTATGAAACAAGCTTTGAACTGGTTGAACAGTTCATCAAAAAGCCCTGAGGGAGTCAGGTGAACATACTTCCTACTTATTTTCGAACTAGAAGCAATCCGATCAAACGTCGCCTAAATGCAATGCTGGCATAAGACAGTAAATATACAGTCCTACGCATGCACATAAAGACATCCAGGCTTCCCGAATTTTTTTAGTTGCCAGGGAGTTTATTTTTGGCGAGATGACCCGTGGGATGCAGAAAACAGTGAACACAGGCACAGCACCCGACACACGCCAAGACTGAGAATACAACCAGACTAAATTAGAGGACCACGGGGAATTTTAAAATATAGCTGGTCAGATCATGACCAGTTGTTATCGGGCTAACCATATATATTGCCGCTGCCTGGAACTTCTTCGATGAACCAAGATATTGGCCGCTCTAAAATGCAGCCGGTTACTAATGATAATGAAGAAAACGCCGATCCGGCGTTCGCTGTAGCGCAGTGGCGCTACAGCGAAAGACTTGCGTTCAAGAACAACTAATTTTACGAAGGACGCTCCCAGCGAATCGCCTCAGTGGAATTTCAAGCATGCAGATCAGGGATCTGTTGGCCCACCTCGGGGCAACCTACGGAGTTGTGCGTACGAGAGGTTCTGTGCGCAAGTCAAAAGAAAAAGGTCTAGACCACCCCATAGTTAACATTCAGCGCTTTACAAGTGAGTTGTTTGTGGCACGATCAGTTAAGTAAGACTCTAGTGCAATCCCAACTCCACTTAACACATTGACATCTTGTGTCTTTTATTTGTTGCCTCGAACCAGTGGGGGTGAACTTGGTTCGAACTTCGTCTATCATTTGTGCAAAATGTTAAAGTTTGTCGAACTTCTGAACTTAGCAGGTTTGCAAATTTGAAAATCGTCGAGTTTCTTAGCAAGGTAAGCTCGAAAGTTAGAAAATGTTGAATTCCATAGCACGAAAAATTTAAAGTTCAAAAACAAGCAAATTTCTAAGCACCAAAAATACGAAAGTTTGAAAATCATTGGTTTTTTTATGCACTAAGTTCGACGTTTGGGAACTTAGCGAATCTTTTGAACCCCTTGGTTCTACCTTCAAACCTCAGGTTCGCAAAAAGTTTGTGGAATCTCTAATGGAGCCGTTCGCAATAAAAATAGGCCCTAATCAAAATGCATAATATGCCGCCACAGCAAGTTTCTTGCAAAAGAAAGCTGAGCTAAAAGAAAATTTTGATGGACATTTTCTTTTACTCGAGCTGTCTTTCGAACTATCTTCTGTCTTAACCGCTAATTTAAGCGCTCCACTTGCCTTGTTTTGCACAAACAAGGCAAGTCGAGGGCTCAAAAGATAGCGGGGATCTATTCGTACAAAAACTAGTTCTGGTTCTCTTCTTTTTGTTTTGTCCTGCTACCACGAAAAAGCATGGCTGAAGTCCATGTGTGCGCTCTTATCTAGAAACACCATGGCGGAAATGCCTGGATAGGAAAAAACACAAGCAAGAAAAAGGATGGTGCTGAAACAAACACTGGTCCCACTCCGCCCCTATACTCGGGCTCAACTTTCTGTGGAATTTGCTAGGAGGAGAGCGCGTGCCCATACCTTTGACTGCCACAGGTAATGGACCCCCAGGATACAAACGCAGCAGGGTATATTGAGTATTAGATCTCTGCTGACTGTAGTGACAGCAAATACTACCGTACGTCAAGGAAGTTGCTACTTTCAGAGACACTCCCAGTTCTTTCGTGTAAAGCAAGGTTGAGTGTATAACAACGGACAACCTTGCAACCTTACGGTGACGAGTGTCCAAGACTTCCGCTCACCAGTGGGCCCATCTTCGAGGATTGCGGATTCAGTCCATGGACTACGTGCAGCAAAAAAAAAAAAAAAAAAAACTCAATGTGCAGGCGAGTTGGTGCGTATTAATTGTGATGTTTTTTTATATGATTCACAGCTTTTCTTACGAGCTATGTTCGAGCTATGCACGCACATCTTTCTATCCTGTTTAAACACCGAGACCGGGAAGGAAACTTAAAGGGGCCCTGCAATCATATTTAAGCGTCTACCTTTTTTGCGGTTTCCACTTCTCTGGGGGTTCGGGCAAGCCAGCGGGCACAGAGAAAGTAACTAAATAGCAGTGCGTCATATTTCAACCGAACGACGCGGAAACCTCCTCCACCGACGGGGGCGACCGGCGGTACCAAAAGCGCGCGATATGCGACGTCTTTGGTCCTGGGCTTACCGGTCAGAGCCGCTAAAAGCTTCTTTTTAGTCGAAATACAAAATATAAGTGGCGCGAGCCGTTTCAATTATTTATAAAAGTAGTTTTTGTTCAGCATTTTAGATAATAAAAGAAACAAATGCAGTTTATAAAGTACGAAAACAAGAAAGGACCCGTCGACATACCCGCCACCAAGCAGTGGAAAAGGCGGCTTAGAAAGGTGTAGTGGGACCAGGCACCGACCAGCGGCAAGGTCCCGGATGTACGCGACGGCGCTGCAGTGAAGGATCTGACCGGTTGTGAGCGTTCTGAAGGCCTTCGGCGAGCAGCTTTCGCTTGCGGTTTGGCCCTTTGGTGGTATGGCAGCGCGAAGTGGCTCCTTTTCTGAACTGATCTTTACCCCGTGTTTGCTGTCGTTTGTGGACAATGAAGTGCCATGCCGAATTAGTGTTTGATCGCGCAGAAAATGCAATACGAGCCGCCCTAGCCGCCCGCTTCATACAGCCTATGCAGAACATGCTTTAGTGGCGCCCTCTCGAGGCGTCGACACGGAGTGCGGCAGCCGTGAGTGCTCGCTGAGCTCGCTATCCCTCCTCTAGTTCACGGCCACTCAACAAGGACGTCATGAAGAAGGTTATTTTTTGCTTGTTTTTGTAATTTCAATTTGCCTACATCTTTTAAAGCTAAATTCGAGAAAAGAAAGGTTTCATTAAGTTACTACGTTCAGTGCGCTCAGGTTCGGTGCAAATTAAAAACCAGTAAAAAAGTCCTTGCAGGGCCCCTTTAAAAAGTCGAAGGGACAGAAGGAAGTAGGCAGACAGCGTCTCAAATGACTTCCGACCAATATTGTTACAAGAGCCACCACAGGAAGAGAATAGGGCATAACATGTGCGTCGGCTTGCCCCTGGTTGATTATTTCTTCATCATTCTGGAAGTCGTCATACGTTGAACGTTGGGCCCTGTCCCTAAAAGGTAGTTTTTCTGGCTTTTGCATAGGGCTGCATATAGCCATTATGTACACTACGAGATTCCACCCTGGAGGAGCGCGCAGGCTTGCGTCAAGCCTCCGTTGCACTACGCGGCAGACCAAAAGGCGTGCAGGGACCATTGTTCCCGCGGGGTTCACTCTTTGGATTGTAAACTTGGTTCCCAACTGATTCCAAGCAGTTTCATGGTGTCAAATGAATGCTCTGGAAGCTCGCTCCAGCACCCACACCGCAGCACGAAACAAATGCCCGGCATAGTCCATTTTTAGACTGTCTGCTAGACCTGCAAGCCTGCCTTCCCCTGAGGTGACCGCACCGAAAAACTCGGGTATATTTGAATGTTGGTTTTGACATTATTCTCTCTTGCCGATTTCACAATAAGTACTCTGAATTTCGCGATACTAAATAACATAATAGAAAAAGTAAAGGCCGGTAATTCCGAAAATATAGTTAGTTGGGGTAGGTCGAAAAATCTCCAGTTCCCCTTTGAAAAAAAAAAAAAGGAGTTTTACGTGAATTCTGGTGCATCTTTGTCCTGTGAATTTCAAAATCACAAGCACTTGACCC